CATTTTCATCTCGTTAAAAAAATAATCATTAGCTATATCATGCTGCTAGTGACTTAATGCTGTCAGTAGCAACAACATTATAGATGTTACCACGAATCAGACGGAATTTTTTCAGTGAAAACACTTCTCTGATTTGCTGTCGTTGGCAACTTTTAGTAGACATTGTCGAGATAAATTAGAGTGCGGTAATATCATCATATCAGTGGGGGCTGTTATCATTCTGCATCATGCTATCACTAGAGTTGAGAGCTGTTATCACACTGAATATTGTTATCACCGGAGCAGAAAGCCGTTATCACGATGCATCGGTTATCACTATAGCAAGGAACTGTTATCATGCGGCCTCTCCAAACCGCTTCCCAGCAGACTCTTCTCGAGCAATCTGACAATCATTATAGTTGCAATGACAATTACTGCCAGTGAAAACACTTTGGCAATCAGCGAGAGTGTCGCATTATTGTAGAAATCATTGGTCGGTTCTTTGACTTTCGGCACCGCGGTGTGTGCGCTGGGGTTCCCGAAAGCGAGTTGTCTGGTGGCCGATTGCGGATAGGACACACTGCTCACCTGCAATACTGACCATAATAATGCTCGACTGAAGATGATGAAACACATGCATCAAATTACCCACCAAACGAATGGAACTTGACTATTATGAAGATGCTTAAAATACCACCAAAATTTCAGCTAAAATCAGAAATGCGGCACGAAATGCTTTTATTGAGGGAGGATTCACTCATGCTATGTCTCTTGCATTAATCAGGAGGCTTTCGCATCTGTTAACTTTTCCAGTTTCTCATTCACCCATCCAGCAAATACATTTTCATGCTCTAATGGCACAAGATAAGTGCTATGCGGTTGTTTGCCGGATATTCCCATTAGCCAGTGTTATCCTGAAAACCTCTGCAAAATGAGTCGCGATCTGAAAGAAAAATAAAAAAAATAAAAAAAAAGCTCTGAAAAATGCAAATCAAATTCGGATTGTGCATGAAATGCATTCGCAGAAGTAGTGCACTGCGTGCGTTCAGTTAGTACTTAGCACTGAGAATATTAAGCTAAGATTTAATGTAGGAAAAATTAAGCTGGGGATTCGCACAGACAAAAAACTGAAAAATGAGGCAAAGGCACTTTTGCAAGCCCTTTTGCCTGAGTATTTTTGTGGGGAATTAATAACATTACAAGACGTGACAAGTTTAATACTGAAATGCTGCTAACTAAAAGAAATTTTACGTGTTTTACTCAGAACTCGACTCCTTGTTCGTCCCTGTTATTTATCCTAAGTAGGTGGAAAAGTTAACAGTCTCAACGGACTGCTTCTTGAGTCTCACATCAAATGCTCCCTATACTAAAATTGGTTATTTCTTTATGGATTTGATATCTAATTTCATTGCAGGTTTTCCGCGATAAATATAACGCCATTTGTGTAAGTGAGCATTTGGAGTATAGCCGACACAAAATCTACTTTTTTTGCCTCAAATTTTCGTGGGATCTTCCAAGATCACTTACAAAGTTTTTTGGGAAACAAATATTGCCTAACTTCACGCCCATGATAATGCTAATTATTATTATATAAACTGATCGAAAAGGTGATCTATAGAAGAACAGTGATTCTGTTATACACCAGATCGCTAAACTGAGTAAAGTACTGTGTTCTACTGAGTCGAATGCCTTATTAAAGTTGGAAGAGAAACAAATACCTCAAATGTCACGTATTTATTTTCTCCCAACTTTAATAATACGACGTGTGGTAGGTATTACTAAGTTGAAGCATTTTTTAAACGAGGCAGTGGGGTTTCAGTTTGATATGAGAGATACGCTAGGGCGAAGAATGTAGTTTATAAAGAATGCAAGAAATCAGGTGGATAAAGGGGACAGTTGAATGATATCCGGCTCATTGTTAAATAAATGGCGAGCGCACACCACGATAGCCGTTGCGATCATGTGTTTTGCACAGTTCAGTCCAGCGAGCGTTTGCTTAGGGATTTTCGCTGCCTTGCACTTTAGCCTGTGCAAAAATAGTCGAAACGTTATCTGGTTCCTAAGCTGCGAAATTTCCCGCTAAAAATTTCATATACCGACACGTGAAAATTGGATTTGAAACCTTGGGCGGTGAACATGCTTCGGTAATTTCAATATCCTAATTTTTTGGCCCTCGAGTGACTTTGCACCAAAACTTTCAGGCTGTCACACGTGAGACTTTGACATATTTGCGAACTAGATTTAAGTCTGAGTTTCCTACCTAGACAGAAGACATCCTTCTGGAGTTTCCAGCCTTCAAGCTCTTTTATCTGCCGAGATAATAACTTTTCCCACCAAAGTTTTCGCACGAAAGTTTGGTACCCATGCGTACGTGCCGTGGGCAGCAAACACTACCTTAAAACTTCAGTTTCCCAACCCTCATGGTTCCCGAGAAAACAGTTTTCCTCGCCAAATCTTTCACAGGGCCATAGTGGTACCCAGGTAGCAGAAGGTTGAATTTAATCTTTCGGGGTTGCATTTGGGCAAGGAACATTATCCTAAAAATTCAGATTCCCGACTTTCACGGTTCCCGATGATGATCTCCCGCCAAAATTTTCGCAGAGGCATGCGTGATGTTCGGACATGCGAGAAGGCTGATTTTAAATATGCAGGATTATATATGGTCAGGGCACATTACCGTAAAATTTCAGCTTCCTAGCTTTTACGGTTTCGGCGATAATAATTTTCCCGTCAAAATTTCCAAGGGGCTATATGTGGTGCCCAAAGGTAGGGAAAGCCTGAAATTAGATTCGCGAGGCCACACTGAACAGGGGTGAGTATCCTAAAAGTTCAGCTTCCTAGCATTCACAGCTCCCGAGATAATAATATTCCTCACCAAACGTTCATGAGGTTGCACATAGTACCCGAAGGCAGGGAAGGTTGAGATTAAATTTGCGGAGTCACACATGGACGGGGAATATCCTTCCAAATTTTCAGCGCCCTAACTTATGTGGTTCCCGAGTCGAGAGTTGCGGACAAAGTTCATCGGACACAAACACACACACAGCTCCGCGACAACATGCGATTTATGCAGCTGTTGCACAGCACAAAATGCATAAAAACATGAAAAGTGACTGATTTGATGCAAGGACTCGCTTGAACAGCCGTGCAGAAATGTAACAACAGGGCCAGGACAAAGAAAAATGATTTTTATGCGTTTTTGCTGTGCAGCGCTATAGCGCTGCTACAGCCAGCAAAAACGCATATT